TGTGTCTAGGAGGTGGGGGTGGTATATCTACTGAAGGAGGAAGGATGTCTTCATCCACTACAGGTGGAGGTGGCAGCAGCCAATCTTCATAATCTGGTAAGGGGGCTTGACTTGTTTATGACTGGGCTCTGTCATATGACAAAGGCACTGATCTTTGGTGGAGTGAGGATGCTGTGTTAGCACTCATTTTCTGCTGCAAATCTAGCACAGTAGACTGAAGCTGTTGATTTTCTCGTTTGAGCTCCTGAACTGTTCACAAAATCTCTGATACATCCTCAGTTGTGATTGGGTGAGATACAGGTGTGCTCTCATATCTTGGTCCGATGTGTAATGAGCGGATTATGAATCTCTGGTCTGTCCCTGTGGCATAGTCGCTCAATGGCTGATAAAAGAGAGGGGTCATCTCGGCTACCCGTTCAGTGTGAGGCTCCTGTAGATCTCTGGGATGAGGGAACATATGTGCAGCTGGAGACTGTTGGTCATAGTGTGGGAGAGAAGCCTCATAATCCTCCAACCAGGCTGGAGGCTGTATTCAACACACATCAGCTAGTTGTCCTTCTCTGATCCTCTGGTCTGGAAACATCTTCTGCAATCCACAGCAATTACTGATCCGGCTCGAAGGACCAAATGTACTGTAGTTACTAATGTGGTTCAGGTTGAATTAATCACTTTGGTACATCTGGTCAAAATGCAGCAAAGATGCTTCTTGATTCACAGATGATTTATTCCACTAGCATGTACAAACATGTGGGTGTTTGTGTGGTTTTTTAGATGCACGCACACGATTAAACACCAATAGAAATTAGGAAATCTCTCGTGCACTCCACACTCTACGGATTTATACCAACAACTGATGATTCTTATGACGCACTTTACAGCACATTCTAGCATACTCCGTAATTCCTCAAGGGGGCAGTAACAGTCCACAGTCATTGACTAGTCCAACACATACCAATATAGCTCTATTACCTAAGAGTGTCTGAATACAGAGACCTTTGCAACAACTTCTATAGTTTCAGAGCTGGAGTTTAAGTTTCAATGATTCTAAATCACTAGTTAATGCTTGCAACTCAAGATTAAACTTATTGTATTCAACCATTTCTCTTAACAGTGTCGTTATTTTCTTATTCAAAGTTTCCTGTTTTCGCATCAACTTTATTATAGTTCTCATCTTAAAATTCATGTCTGCTGATATTCCAGGTCTCTTCTTTGTCCGGCGCTGCCACTCCACTTTCGCTTGCTTTTTGACTTTTCAGATTTCTTCCACCTGCAATCCTTTAATGATGAGATCACCAAAATCAATATTTATTTTACTTGATTCATGACCACTATTTCCAATAGAAAATAGATCCCGAAATTGCATATGTGAATTGGTGGGTTTTTGTTAAATGTGAGCCAAAATCATCACAATTAAAAGAACCAAAGACTTAAACTACTTCAGTCTGTGTGCATTGAATTTATTTAATACACAAGTTTCACAATTTGAGTTGAATTACTGAAATAAATTAACTTTTCCACGACATTCAAATTTATTGAGATGCACCTGTATTGTTATTATTAATCCGGACAACTTTCTAATTTACAGTCATTAGCTACAAACAACAGGCAGTTGGCTATTTTGGTTTGAAGGTGGATTTTTTATTTTTTTTTATTTCAGGCTGTGAATTATTGCATACTCCTCCTATAGGGAACCATGCAATTCAAAACAAACTTTGCTCAGAACATATAAAATTTGCACGGCCTACAAACATTTCACTCTGTTTTTTCATACTTTCTCCTTTATTTTCCTCTTAAACAAATTTTGTTCCTTCTATTGCTGCAAAAGTCTCAGCAAGTCTTGAGTTCCATTCTTAAACTGAAACACACATAGACTACAAATGTGAATGTGAATGGTATGTGTGGTGTGAATGGTTTAACAAGTGGGTCGCAACCCCAAAAATGGGTTGCACATTTGTAGGTTCACGGACAGCTGGTAAAAAAAACAATCCTAACTGCAAATAATACAATGCAACCAACCATATAACCAGTTAGCATAGCAAAACAAACATTTTTACCAATGATTAAAAGGAAGAAATGGCATTGCATACCTTTTGTTGATGTTGCCAAAGATTTTGCATCTAATAATGCACTGTATTTTGGCACAAGCAAATGGTTACATGGACAGGTTTACTCACATGGTAAAAGAAGATTAATGTTAATTTGTATATGTTGGTCATAAATCTGGAATCACTCTCCTCATCTAACCCTGTTGCTCTAAATAATCAGTGTAATCACAGCATACAACAGAACAAACTGAAGTGTTATCTTCCCTCTTCAATGTGGAGTGTCATTAGGATCTAGAATTCAAGCCTTAACAGATGAACAATGCATTCACACACAACTTTTGTTGATGTTGCCAAAGATTTTGCATCTAATAATGCACTGTATTTTGGCACAAGCAAATGGTTACATGGACAGGTTTACTCACATGGTAAAAGAAGATTAATGTTAATTTGTATATGTTGGTCATAAATCTGGAATCACTTTCCTCATCTAACCCTGTTGCTCTAAATAATCAGTGTAATCACAGCATACAACAGAACAAACTGAAGTGTTATCTTCCCTCTTCAATGTGGAGTGTCATTAGGATCTAGAATTCAAGCCTTAACAGATGAACAATGCATTCACACACAACAGAGCAAACTTAAACCGATTAAAACTTTATTTTGGATGTACTGGCATCATTTACCATAAAGCATTCAAATGGAACTGTAAACTCCAAAAGAATTAGAAATGTTAAAAATGCATGCACGTTTGAGTTAGTGACCTTCATGACATTAGGCAGCAATACAAGTTATACTGCTTATATGAGCACAAAATAATAAAATCAGCAGAATAAAAACGAAAACTAAACTCAGGTTAAAAATCCTCTTTCTACTATATGTTAATTTTTATATATTTATAAAATTCAGTAAATGTATTAATAAACTAAATGGAATAAAGTGCATATATTTTCTCTGCATTTTAGTCACCACTGAAAAACACACATTGTATGTAACAATAAACAATTGCAAGCATGACAAAGGACACAAAATTAATGCACTGTGAAAGTGATTAAACATGAAATTAAAAAAGACAATATGAACTATGAAAATCATTGTTATTAAATTAATCAATACATCAATAAACCACAGATGATTATTAAAGGGATTAAAAACAATAGTTGTGAATTGTAAACCCACCCCTTCACTTCGTGTACAAAAAATATGCATAAAATGTAAAAAAAAAAATTTGCATTTTTAAAAATGCAAAGTGAAAATAAATAATATATTTTTTACTCTATAAGATGAAATTCTTCAGTATTTACATTCTGATAAAAAGAGTTTCATGCTCAGAGGTAAATTCACAAGAGATTGCCTGTGGTTTTTCAACAAAACCTGGGACTTACTCACTAACCACCCAGAATCCAGTTTAACCAAATGCAAAAAAAGAAAGATTTTTTTTTTATGTCAGCAGTCAAATGATAGTTAAGCACACTTTCTAAATGTTAAAGCGCTATTTATTTTAGGTGTCTGGATTGCTAGGTATAGCCCCAGTAGAGTATGCCAGATCACGGGAAGTCTGCTGCATTCAAAACTCCTTCAAAACCGGCCTGCAAGATGAGAAATTGCAACATGCAAATGGTGTCTAGTTCTCTTTTGGGGTTGTGTATACGCGATTTGCATGATTCCTTGAATCTGACCCAAAGACAACACAGAGAGCACATGCAAATTCATTCTCAGTGCATTATTGCTTGAGCAATTTCTTGAGCAATTTCACCAAGTCATTGCTCTGAGCCAACATAAAGTGTAATCCATTTGAGAAGGACATGTAGAAGATCCAGTGATTTTAAAACTGTTGAAATATATATGTATATTTGGCCATTCTGTAATTATTTTTAAAGGAATTGTTCAACCAAAAATGAACATTTGCTGAAAATGTACTCACTCTCAGGCCATCCTGAGAGAGTCTGTTTCTTCATCAGAACAGATTTGAAGAAATGTAGAGGATTATGGATTACAAAGTCTTATTTTGGCCAGAAGGTTTCAAGTTAAAATGCCTTAATGATGGTTTTTATGTCTTATAAACACATAGCTTTTCACTTCATAAGACGTTAACTGATGGACTGGAGATATGTGAATTATTTGTGGATTATTGTGATGTGTTTATCAGCTGTTTGAATTCTCATTCTGACGGCACCCATTCACTGAAGTGGATCCATTGATGAGGAAGTGATGTAATGCTAAATTACTCCAAATCTGTTTGGATGAAGAAACAAACTCATTTACATCTTGGATAGCCTGAGGGTGAATACATTTTCAGCTAATTAGATTTTCTATTCCTTCCTTCTTTGGCTCAGAGAGACAAAATAGGTGTTTTGTCAGCAATAAACAAATATGTGCTGCTTTACTTTTTGCTACATTATTCTTATGAACTGGGAAATATATCTGTGCTCCTTCACTTTGCTCTAATAAAATTTACATGTTGTCTCACATTATGTTACTACATGTCTCATAAACAATAGAACAAGTGAAGAGTTCAGATGCAAAAGCCTCTAAGTGCCATCTGAATTTTTCTTCTAAAATTAGCATTTTTATTAGACTCCTATGTTTAGGTGAAGTAGTTTTACTTTAATAGCAATGCATAGGTCATTTTCTATGCAATTAAAGTGAAATAACTAAACATAAATATAGGAGCCTGATAAAAATACTAATTTTAGAAGAATATTTCAAATGGCACTTAGAGGTTTTTGCATCTGAACTCTTCAAGTGTTCACTTAAAAAATTTAGAGGACTGGCTTGTCGAATCCTAAACTATTGTTGCCAAAGGATTGCACTTCATGCTGGCTAAATCACATAAATATACATACAGTTAAAACAAGTGCATTTTCAAAGTATAATATTTTTTACCAGAAATATTAATTCCTAAAATAAAATAAAATAAAGTATTCTTATTTAACACCAATCTAAAAGTTTCACCAGTTAAAAAAAAAGTCCAAGTTTTGGCCTCAGTTGTTTTTCTGAAAGTATCTCTTCTAAACATTCCATAAGAACAGGATCCACTTTTGGATCCACTTTATTAGCAAACCAGTGGCCATAGTTTAGCAGCCATCTAAGCTCAGCAGCACCATAAATACATACAGATCGTATACTGGCTCCAGTGCATGGTGGATAAAGAATCCTTTCTAGATATGACCACTTCACCAGGCGGGTTTTACTTATCAGTTCTGAGATCTCAGGATCAGATCTTGGCACTTCCCCTGGTACTCCAGGCACACGAATCAGAGTTGCCCAGAAATGTTCATCAGGTGAGTATGTATCCTTAGACCAAGCCAAGAAATCCCTGGCTAGCAAACTCTGGTGAACAAAAAACACAAATTCTCTTGAAAGTGTGAAGTATGCGCTGCCCACAAACATTTCTATGTTGTGAGGAGGTGGAGATTTCATCTCTCTAGTGCTTACAGGAGACTCATAATACTCTGAATTATTACTTTTTAGTAAATAATGAACACTCCAGCGACCTGTCTTTCCTCCTGGCCACTTGCTCTCCACCATGTTCCTGCCTTTCAGCTCTGTTAGATCCGACACCAGCTCAGCATTTGTCCGAAGTGGAAAGTCTTGACCACAGAGGTTGATTACATACTTCCATTTGACCTCAGAATCTAGGAGGTCAGACAGGCAATTAAGATCCGCTTTGAGTCGTGAGATTCCTGCGTACTGCACCCTCTCCAGCTTTGAGGCAATGAAGACGTTGGGGATGCAGCGGGCCAGACCTTTCATTGCTGAAATAAAGTCATCTGAGGACTTCAGATCATAATGTATGCAGTATATGTTATGCGGCATATAAATGGCCCTTAGTAACCTCTCCACAAGAGCCACATCCTGGTGAACAACCAAAGAAAAAGCAAGGGGAAAATCACGCTCAAAGTCAGAGCTTTGAATCGCATCATAGCCCCGTGACATAACAAACCAGTGAAGTAGTTTTACTTTAATAGCAATGCATAGGTCATTTTCTATGCAATTAAAGTGAAATAACTAAACATAAATATAGGAGCCTGATAAAAATACTAATTTTAGAAGAATATTTCAAATGGCACTTAGAGGTTTTTGCATCTGAACTCTTCAAGTGTTCACTTAAAAAATTTAGAGGACTGGCTTGTCGAATCCTAAACTATTGTTGCCAAAGGATTGCACTTCATGCTGGCTAAATCACATAAATATACATACAGTTAAAACAAGTGCATTTTCAAAGTATAATATTTTTTACCAGAAATATTAATTCCTAAAATAAAATAAAATAAAGTATTCTTATTTAACACCAATCTAAAAGTTTCACCAGTTAAAAAAAAAGTCCAAGTTTTGGCCTCAGTTGTTTTTCTGAAAGTATCTCTTCTAAACATTCCATAAGAACAGGATCCACTTTTGGATCCACTTTATTAGCAAACCAGTGGCCATAGTTTAGCAGCCATCTGAGCTCCGCAGCACCATAAATACACACTTCTCGCACATGGACTCCAGTGCATGGTGGATAAAGTCTCTCTTCTAAAGACCACCACTTCACCAGGCGGGTTTTACTTATCAGTTCTGAGATCTCAGGATCAGATCTTGGCACTTCCCCTGGTACTCCAGGCACACGAATCAGAGTTGCCCAGAAATGTTCATCAGGTGAGTATGTATCCTCAGACCAAGCCAAGAAATCCCTGGCTAGGGAACTCTGTTGAACAAAAACCACAAATTCCCTTGAGAGTGTGAAGTACGCGCTGCCCACAAACATGTCTATGTTGTGAGGAGGTGGAGATTTCATCTCTCTAGTGCTTACAGGAGACTCATAATACTCTGAATTATTACTTTTTAGTAAATAATGAACACTCCAGCGACCTGTCTTTCCTCCTGGCCACTTGCTCTCCACCATGTTCCTGCCTTTCAGCTCTGTTAGATCCGACACCAGCTCAGCATTTGTCCGAAGTGGAAAGTCTTGACCACAGAGGTTGATTACATACTTCCATTTGACCTCAGAATCTAGGAGGTCAGACAGGCAATTAAGATCCGCTTTGAGTCGTGAGATTCCTGCGTACTGCACCCTCTCCAGCTTTGAGGCAATGAAGACGTTGGGGATGCAGCGGGCCAGACCTTTCATTGCTGAAATAAAGTCATCTGAGGACTTCAGATCATAATGTATGCAGTATATGTTATGCGGCATATAAATGGCCCTTAGTAACCTCTCCACAAGAGCCACATCCTGGTGAACAACCAAAGAAAAAGCAAGGGGAAAATCACGCTCAAAGTCAGAGCTTTGAATCGCATCATAGCCCCGTGACATAACAAACCAATCACAGTCAGAGGTGGCATTCACAATAATCTCGTCGGTTGGCCCTACATAGCTTTTTTGCTTGCGAATGGCTAAAGTTTTGCCCAGTTCCACTGGTTCCATTTCATATATTGCTGTGCAATTAATGCTATATTGTACTGTCAGCCGCGGCCTCTCAGACTGTCCTGTTTCCTGTCCTCCTTCATTTACTATTGAAAATGTGATCTTGACGCAACATATAAGAAGTGCCAGGGTTAAAACGATAAATATCACATTTCTCCGTTTGAGGTGGAGCCACAATCTTCTCATTCTGTAGGGAGAAATGAAAGTTCATATTAGTAATGTAATGTATGACTGTAATGTAATGTATCAATGAATGAATTTGATGGCGAGTACACCATAAAGAAAGTGCAGCCATACCTTTGCGATGCTTTGAGGCCTTAAGATGAAACTTTTTCAGTAGCATTGGCACTATCCTCTGAACGACACGAGCAAGAGTTTGGTTAGCATTAGCATCACCTATTGTCATAAAAATAGACATAATGTTAAAACTTTGGTCTAACCTGAAGTTTCAGCTTTTCAAATATTTCATAATGACTGAAGAATATGATGAATATCCAAATTATATGGATTTACATATACGTTGTTCTAGACTGGATTTTAGTCTGTGCAAAAACATAGTAAGTAACTATTTATTATTTGTAGAACTACTATGGGGTTAGATCTCTGCCACAATTCTGCGTGCGAACGATCATATTTTGAGCGCACAAAAGTGCATTTTGCACGTGCACGATCTGAGTTTTGTGGAGAAAATGTTCGTCTCCAAAGAAAAAAGTATTTCGAATGGACTAAAATCAATTTTGCATTTAAAATAAGTATTTAGATTTGTGCAGACCTTCACTTTTGCGCGTTTCACTAGCTTGCTTACTTGATGCCCACCCTCAGTCCTCTCTAAATGCCAACGGCTCGCTTGCTCAACACAACCCAGCGTTACAATATGCCATAATTCCAGCCAATCAGAGACAAGGCTGCTAAATTCTGATTGGCTGCCTTGACAACCAATCACAACATTCCTTGCATTACTAATGACAGCGGAAGAGGGAAAATACAGGGCATGCATAATTATAATGCAAGTTGATATTCTGATTATATTCCAAACAACATCAATCTTAATAACTACTATTAATCTTGTATTTAATCACTTATAACCGATATATAATTGTTCATGAAGGCTGGAAGTGAAAAACTCCTTATATTCAGGTGTGGATAATTATTAAGCAGGTTATCTTCTACAGATAAAATCTCGAGATGGACTAAAAATGAACTCCCAAAACTTACTGCCAGATACTGTAAGATAAATTCTTCAAACAGTGGTACAAGAGGATGTGGTGCTGGTCCTTCAGGAGTCACTCTCAACTTATCTGTCTATAAAGCCTATATTTAAAAAAATCAATCTTCAAGTATTTTACTACACTTCAGTATGTGATTCTTGGGTCAATTTTTAGGATTCTATACTTAACCTAAGTCTCTGAGAACCTGACACCTTGTACTGGAATAATGGAATGCAACAGTTTTGAACGAGCGCACCTTTTTTTAACAACCAAAAAATGGCTGTTTCGTGGTCTGTTGAGGAAGTACAGACGTTCCTCTCATTGATAGCAGAGGAGCGGATCCAGCGAGAGCTTGATGGGGCGACTCGGAATGAAAAAAGTTTTTCAGGAGTCGCGGCAATAGAGTCGCAACTATAACGACATGTGAATAATCCTGCCCACTCTAAAACGGTACTAAGATGCATTGGAAATGCAAACCGAGCCGTGCTGTGCCATACTGAGCCGTGCCGAACCGAGCCGAGCCGAGTCGTACCACGCAGTGGAAAAGCGCCATAAATGGTTCCTGGTGATTTCGCACCTAATTATTTTGCAGTTAACATGCATCTTTTCTTCTCCACATGTTTTTGACTGACCCTGCTGACCCACTGAGCATTTTGCTGTCCAATGGATGCATTAATGCATAATGCATTAACTTTGCAATTTCTAGTAATGTATTAGTTTTTTATATTTCTCATGGGCATTTAATAATTTTCGACTTTCAGTCTGAGTTAAATCTCTTTTTTAGCTAATTTTATCTGTAAAAGAAAATCTGCTTACTAATTATATGCACACCTGAATATAAGACATTTTTCAATTCCAGGCTTCATGAATAATTATATATCAATTATAAATGATTAAATACAAGATTAATAGGAGTTATTTAGATTGATGTCGTTTGGAATTGGTCAAATGTGCTTGGAAAAAAATATGATCAGAATATCAACTTGCATAATAATTATGCATGCACTGTATTTATCCTCTTCAGCTGTCATGGTAATGCAAGGAATGTTGTGATTGGTTGTCAAGGCAGCCAATCAACCTAAGTCTCTGAGAACCTGACACCTTGTACTGGAATAATGGAATGCAACAGTTTTGAACGAGCGCACCTTTTTTTAACAACCAAAAAATGGCTGTTTCGTGGTCTGTTGAGGAAGTACAGACGTTCCTCTCATTGATAGCAGAGGAGCGGATCCAGCGAGAGCTTGATGGGGCGACTCGGAATGAAAAAAGTTTTTCAGGAGTCGCGGCAATAGAGTCGCAACTATAACGACATGTGAATAATCCTGCCCACTCTAAAACGGTACTAAGATGCATTGGAAATGCAAACCGAGCCGTGCTGTGCCATACTGAGCCGTGCCGAACCGAGCCGAGCCGAGTCGTACCACGCAGTGGAAAAGCGCCATAAATGGTTCCTGGTGATTTCGCACCTAATTATTTTGCAGTTAACATGCATCTTTTCTTCTCCACATGTTTTTGACTGACCCTGCTGACCCACTGAGCATTTTGCTGTCCAATGGATGCATTAATGCATAATGCATTAACTTTGCAATTTCTAGTAATGTATTAGTTTTTTATATTTCTCATGGGCATTTAATAATTTTCGACTTTCAGTCTGAGTTAAATCTCTTTTTTAGCTAATTTTATCTGTAAAAGAAAATCTGCTTACTAATTATATGCACACCTGAATATAAGACATTTTTCAATTCCAGGCTTCATGAATAATTATATATCAATTATAAATGATTAAATACAAGATTAATAGGAGTTATTTAGATTGATGTCGTTTGGAATTGGTCAAATGTGCTTGGAAAAAAATATGATCAGAATATCAACTTGCATAATAATTATGCATGCACTGTATTTATCCTCTTCAGCTGTCATGGTAATGCAAGGAATGTTGTGATTGGTTGTCAAGGCAGCCAATCAGAATTTAGCAGCCTTGTCTCTGATTGGCTAGAATTATCCATATTTTCGTGCGCTGGAAATACTTTCTTCTTTGTGAATTTGAAACGTTCAGAATTGTGGCAGAGATCTAATCCCATATATAACTTGCTTTTTCTTTTTTAGCTAATTTTATCTGTAAAAGAAAATCTGCTTACTAATTATATGCACACCTGAATATAAGACATTTTTCAATTCCAGGCTTCATGAATAATTATATATCAATTATAAATGATTAAATACAAGATTAATAGGAGTTATTTAGATTGATGTCGTTTGGAATTGGTCAAATGTGCTTGGAAAAAAATATGATCAGAATATCAACTTGCATAATAATTATGCATGCACTGTATTTATCCTCTTCAGCTGTCATGGTAATGCAAGGAATGTTGTGATTGGTTGTCAAGGCAGCCAATCAGAATTTAGCAGCCTTGTCTCTGATTGGCTAGAATTATCCATATTATCCATATTTTCGTGCACTGGAAATACTTTCTTCTTTGTGAATTTGAAACGTTCAGAATTGTGGCAGAGATCTAATCCCATATATAACTTGCTTTTTGTGTGTGTGTGTGTGTGTGTC